ATCTGAGCACCCCAGAAAGGGAGACATTTGTATGTTTGGCTGTGAGCCCCCCACCACCACAGGCCTTTCCTAAAAACCCCTTCTGTGCACACAGAGGACTCCGAGGTGGCCCCCTTGTGGGACCCACTGATGCCCCATAACTTGGCTCGGCGTCAAGCCAAACCTGTGGATGAGTGAGGGGCCCCAAGGTGCCGAATGTCTAATGAGTTGGCCTTCCTCGGCCTCAGTTCCCTCGTATGTGGAATGGGACCGCAGAAATGTTCTGAAGATTCTGCCAGGTGACGTGTGCCAGGGGCCGAGCACACACGGGAACTTGGCGGTTCTATGCAGAATGAACGAGGGGACCGTCTCAGGCTAGTCAAGCCGTGGGACTCACGGCCAGTTGTGCTGTCTGTCCAGGCCTGAGGCCCCCGTGGATGGAGCAGTGTAAACACAGCCTGGCTCAAGCTCTCGGTTGTCCCCGCTGCTGGGCACTGCCTGGCTTATGTCCAGCTCGCTCTGTGCCCACGGGAACAGAGTCTGAGTTTCGCTCTCCGCGAACACTGTAGGTCATGCCTCCTTTGTGGACCCTGTGCTGGGCCTTCTCCGGGAGTGGAGCACAGAGCCGCTCAGCCCCTGCCCCCAGAAGCTGCCCCAAAAGAAGATTGTGTGTGTGAGCGAGCACATGTGCGCATGGTGTGTGCACACGTGTGTGTGTGAGCGAGCACGTGTGCGCATGGTGTGTGCGCACGTGTGCGTGTTGGGGGCACGTGCTGTGATCAAAGCAAGGCCTGGGCAAAGTGACAGAGAGAAAGGCTTCGGGAGCAGGTGGCTTTTGAGGGGGCCCCAACAAGGTGACAGTGGGGTGCGGGGGGGCCCGGTCCAGCCCGGTCCAGCCCAGTGAGCGCACAGCAGGAGCCCCAACAAGGTGACAATGGGGTGCGGGGGGGGCACAGTCCAGCCCGGTCCAGCCCAGTGAGCGCACAGCAGCGTCCTGGGGCGTGGGAGGAATGCCAAGGGCGGAGCAGCAGAGGCGCCCGAATGCCCAGATGAGGCGCCGACTCCCACCACCCCAGGGCAATGGGGAGCCACGGCGGCATTTGGACCAAGAGAGGGGCCCGGTCTGGGCCAAGTTGGGAGAATGGGGTTGGAAGGGTGGCCTGGGCAGCCCAGGTGGGGGCCTACCTTGCTTCCTTCTTCTCTACACCCCTCGGAGACAACCCAGCTGGGGCCTCCCCTGGGGTCACCGCATCTTCTAAAGGCATGACTTTGCAAGTCTGGGACACACTTTGGGGCCCAGCCTGACCGGAGACTCCCCCTGCAGCCTCAGCATCCCCATCTGTAACACACTCAGGTCGGACGTGAGGGACTCTTTTCCCAGTGGTATATGGCTTGGTTGAAGTCACCCAGCAAAAGCAGTGGGGCAGAGCAAGGACTGGATCCCAGCCACTTCACGTGTGCCACCCCCAGAGCCCCAGCCCACAGGACGCTTGGAGGGCTGGCTGGGTCTTCAGACGACCCCGAGGAAAACCAGATGGGGCCTCTGCTTCCGACCTTCTCCTCCCCCTTTCTGATTTGCCCATCTGTAAAATGGGGATGTCTCCCTCTCATGAAGTTGCCGGGAGGCTAAATGAGTCAGTGGATATACATGAAAACTTGTCTCCCCTTCAAACTCCTCTTCACACTTCAAAACCCACCAACAGACTTCACGTCTTCAGTGCAGCCCCAGGACAGCCTTTGGCTCCTCACCCTTCTTCACTCCAGGCTCCCCAGCCCTCGACTGTGCCACTTGCCCCAACCCTGGCCCCATGAGTGTGGGAGTGTCTATCTGCCTCTATCTCCCTCTCCCCCAGACCAGTGGGATGGGTCATCCCTGGGGTTGCACAACTACGCAGCACGGGGCACACTGGGAATGTCGTCGAGTGAATGAGTAGAGGAAGGCACGGGGCAGGGAAGGGATGCAGTGATGGGGAGCCAGGGAAGGTGGAGGAGAGAGGGAGGGCACTCAGCAGAGACCTCGGTGGGACAGATGGAAAGAGGTGGGCAGAGCCAGATGGGAGGGCAGGGGCGACGGGAGGGGTGGGGTGTGGGGAGACCCATTCCCCCCCCGCTGGCACGCCTCCTCCGGGCTGGGCTCTGGTGGGCAGCATGGGTGGAGCCTGGACGCTGGCTGGTGGATTGCCTGGATGTGGGGCGTAGGGAGCAAGGCGCTGGGCCCCAGCTCTCGTGTTGTGTGGCTGTGCGCCTGGGACCGGCCAGCCGGGCGGCGGCACGTGGATGCCAGCCTGGTGCACGTCTCCAGGCCGCTGGGTAAGGCTGGGTGTGGGGCTGCAGGGTGCGGGCAGCCGGGCCTCCCAGCTTCAGGTTTCGAGTGGGGGGGTGTAGGTGGGGAGGAGGGGGCTGCCCACCTGGCTTCTGGGGCCAGACTGACAGCCCCTCCCCCCGCCAGGCTGACCCGGAGGGGGAAGGGCCTCCCAGTAAGAGGTGGAAGGTCCCAGGCTGCACAGTGGCCAGTGGACATGGGGAGCAGGGACTCAGGCCACGAGAATGGGGTGGGGGTTGAGGGTGCAGTGATGGGGGTACATTCCCTCCCTGTGACCCCCCTTTCCTCATTCGCTCCCTCTGCTCATCCATCTCTAGAAGATTATATTTAAATATCTCTTTTGTGCAAGGCAGGAGCTGGGCTCGCCCCTAAGAGGCGGTTTCCATGGCAACAACAATTGCCAGCTTCCGTGTGGTGAATCAGCGTTGCCATGGCAACCCCATCCTCATCTGCCCAAGGTGCTGGGAGTGGGGGAGGAGGTGAGGGCCTGTGGAGGTGGGGTGGGGTGGGTGTGGGGAGCAGGAGGCTGAAGCTCAGGTGCCCCCTCTCCCTCCACCCCCCCTTCACCACCAGAGTCCACCCCCAGCCCAGAATCTGGTCCCATCTGATTAAAATAGCTCCCCTCCTGCCTCCAGCTATTGGGGTGTGGTACCCAGGTGGAGAGGGCCTGGTGTGCATAAGTGTGTGTGTCTGTGTGTGTGTGTAGCGGGAAAGGGGAGACATGGTTCTGCCTTGCTCAGGTGGTTCGGGGTCCCTCAAGTGTGTGGCTGGGTGGCAGGAAGTTACCGTGTGGGAACTGGGGATGCTGGATGGGGGGACAGAGGCCTGTCTGGTTCTTGGGCTCCCAAGGTTGAGTTCAAATTGGGGTGGCCCATATGTGCCTGGAACACTCAGAAAGGAGAAGGGTACCAGGTGGGAGGGGCTCAAGGAGGGGTGGGGACACAGGGAGGAGGAAATGACTCAGAATGGGGGGCTCAGAGGGGACGGGGAAGACAGAGAGGGGAAGGCCTTGCAGAGCGAGCGAGGAGACTCGGAGAGAGGCTCAGAGCTGGGACAGGGGCTGAGAGAAGGGGAGGTTCAGAGGGGAGGAGACTTGGGGTTTTCAAAGTCGGGGAGGGGTCTCTAATCATAGGATTGGGTGGAAAGACCCTTACATGTGACATGTAGGATCTTAGTGCCTCGACTTGCCCACCATGACCTTGTCAGATGTAATAAGAGACTTCTCCCTGGGCTCTGATTTTGACGTATGATGGGGTGAAATCGGCCCCTTTCTCGAGCTGGCCAGCACCATGACGGGAATGCTGGCATTTGTCAAGCACCGTCTCTAGACGGGTGGGGATCTGCTCCAAGACTGTCCGAACTGGGGCCTGCGCTCGCCACCTGGGCCTGTTGGGAGCGACCAGATGCCTTTGTGCCCTGCGCTGGTGGGCACTGGCCACCTCCTTCTGGTCAACTCGGTCCGGCAAACTCCTCGGACCTTCCAGTGTCCTCGCCCTGTGTGGAGTGACGCTGTGGTCCCCGGTCCGGTCCGGAGGGAGAAGAGTGAGCCGTAGACGCTTCCTGCCCTGAGGCGGAGGGAGGAGCGAGCCCAGAGGGCTGGAGGGGCTCCCTGTGTGGGGATTTCGAGGTGGGTTTTGAAGGATGATAGGAGTTTACCAGAGATGCCGGGTCGGGAGGAAGATCCTGTCCTGGGGCCAGCGGAGAAGCAAAGGCCACCGCATCCCACCTCCCTCAGGTCCGTTCTCACATGTCACTTGAGCTCATACTTGTGGCTGGGGGAGTTTGGGGGAAGGGGCTAGTGAGGATTTCTTCCATTCGACATCATTTTCAATACCGGGCTGGGAGACAGAAGTTTCCAGAACAATGAGTCCAGCTTGCAGGCTGGTCCACTTGGATATGACAGTCCTCCCACCCAAGGTTCGGGCTGCTGACCGAAAGTAGCAGCTTGGTGTATTGGTCAGCTACTGCTGAGTGACAAATCATCCCAACTGTCTTATACGTTCATGATTCTATGGGTTGGTAACCCCGGGCTGGGCTCATCTGAGGGGTTCCTGCGGGTCTCTCCTGGAGTCATTCATGCAGCTGCAGTCGGCTGGGGTTCAAATGGGACTAGCTGGGCGGGGATGACCTCGCTGTGTAGCAGAGGGGACCCTCTACGCGTGAGGTCTGCTGTCCGCCGGTAGCTCTCCCGGGCTCGTGCACCTGGCGATCTCAGGGTTGCAAGCATGCAAGCTGCAAGGTCTCCCGGCGCCGAGTTTGGAACCCCTACAACTGCACGGCCGCCACAGTCTATTGGTCGGAGCAAGTTGCATGGCCGAGACTGGATGCAAAAGGAAAACAGACTCCAGTTCTTGATGAGAAGAACCTTGAAGTCACATCACAAAAAGGGACTGGAGGAGTTAGGCCATCTTTGCAAACGGTCCCTCACACCTGGGGAGGCAAGGAGGCTTCCTGGAGGACGATTATCGTTACTGGGTTTCCAAGGCTAAGTGAGCGTTTTCCAGGCAGCATGAGCGAAGCCCCGTAGGTGGGACCGTGTGTTGTTTGGTTCTAGTGGGGCGTTAGCGGCTGCTGCGGGGAGGGTACTGAGGCTGGGGACGTGGGCAAAGTTGCGTGGCAGAGCTTGGGGGAGGGGAAGCCTCCGCCCACACAGCCCCCCCTGCCGACCTTGACCTTTCCCTCCCCCTTCTCTCCACAGATGGCGCGGCCAATCCAGGTGAAGCCTGCGGACAGCGAAAGCCGCGGAGGTAGTTGTCATCTCTCCGTGGCCGCTGGGCTGGGGGTGGGCTGAGAACGGGGGAAGGAGGGACACCCCTGCGCGAAAGCCTGCAGCAGTCACCTGCCTGCTCGGACGCCCCAGGGGAGGGGACGGGAGAGCAGGGCGGTGGTGTCCTCTCTTCCCAGCCACAGAGTCCCAGGCCAGGGCCAGCTGCTTCCCCTGGAGCTCGAAATGCCTCACTGCTCTCAGGGTGCAGAAGTGGGGTCTCCAGACGCAGAGGGGATGGGGTCCTGAAAGGGCTGCGGATTGATTTCCGGCGTGTGCACGTGTCCACACCTGGACAAGTGCATCCAGGTGTATATATGTGACCACGCACACCTGGTCATGCCTGCGTGCACGTGTGTGCAAGTATGTGCCGCGTGCATGCGTGTTTGTGCGGCTGGGGCGGTGGGCATGCGTGCGCGTTGCGTGCGTGCGTGCTGCGTGCCCAGCCCCTGCGCGGGTGTTTGCGTTTGAGCTCCTGAGCTTGACTCTAACGGACTGGGCATGTGGGCATGCGGGCTGGGGGCCTGGCAGTCTGCGTGGGACTGCACTGGGTGCTGGGGGCTTGCCTATCGGGGGGAGGGGTGCTTGGCTGTGCTCAATGGGACCCAAGGATCGTCATTCTTGGGGATTTTCATGCCCCCCTCCCCATCGCAGGTGGATTGAGGGCCGAGGGAGAGCAGCCAGCCCTGGGGGTGGTGTGGAGGGCAGGGCAGTGAGGCCCCTCGTACATGGGTAGGAGCCTAGTAAAGGCCATCGGGCTGGGAGCCCGTTTTCACACTCTCTAACCTGGCTGCCATTGTGGTCAGCAATTCAGAGGTGGGGTCTGCGTTTCTCCATCTCTTCCTCCCTCTCCCTCCGGATTGCTGTTTCTCTCTCCTTTTTCTCTCCTGTCTCTCTGCGCCTCTGAGTCTCTCTCTGTCTGTCTCTTTCTCTCTCAGCCTCTCCTTGTCTCTCTCTCCTTGACTCTCAGTCTCTCCCGGCTGTGTCTCTCCTTCCCTCCCACCCCTATGAGTGACAGCTGCCGGAGAAAGGGTCTCCATAGTAACCCGGCTCACCATCACCCAGAGAGGAAGCTGCCATGGTCCTGATTACAGGGGAGCAGTGTGGTTATCGAGGGGGTAGGGCCCTGGTGCCTTACGTAGGCGAGGTTAGCCAGGACTGACTCCTGGCCTTAGACTTGGGCATCGACTAGGCACCCACCCCAACCCCCCACCGGACAGGGAGTGCGGGCTTCCCAGGCGCCCTTACTTACTGAACAGCGAGGTTGGGCGGGGGACTCTTCCAGGCACCGTGAGGATGCAGAGGCCATCAGCTCTCACCCCATCCTGGAAAATCTAGATGGCTGACAGACAGGGGACCTAGGCGAGGCCAGGCAGTTCCTAACCCTGGTACTGTGCGTGGGCTCTCTGAGGCCCAGCAGGGAGAAGCTGGCTTTGCCGGGTGGGTGGGAGCAGTGGAGTAGAGGCCCCGGAGGATCAAAGGGAGGACATTCCAGACATGGTGGTGGAGCGGGGGGTCACTGCGTGAGGAAAGGCGTGAACATGGGACCTTGCAGGGACGTGGGAGGGTGGAGAGACCCAGGGCAGGGAAAGCGCGTGGGTGTCACCTCCCTCGCAGGCGCAGAATGGGCCCAGCTGAGGAATTCCTGGAGGCCCGCAGGCCTGGACTCGGCTGAGGTGGTGTCTCCGCCCACAGGGGACCGGAAGCTGTTTGTGGGGATGCTGAACAAGCAGCAGTCGGAGGAGGACGTGCTGCGGCTGTTCCAGCCCTTTGGGGTCATCGACGAGTGCACGGTGCTCCGGGGGCCAGATGGCAGCAGCAAAGGTCAGGGTCGCGGCTGGCTCTGGGGGCGGGGCCGGGCCCAAGGGGGCGGGGCCGCGTCCTGGAG